TGTCGCAGTAAGGCCTTTATCTCCAACTGGCCTCCGCCACCAGACCCAAAGGGTCGAAAAGCCTTGCTGTAATGGATCGTAGGGACGACATTCGGACTTCCCTAGGCAGACGAAAGTTTGGTAGTTTAATGTCCACATTATCACAGTTGGGACCAATAAACCATCGATAGCCGAGCCACGAGGCCATTTGTAAACCATCCATACCAGTAACATCACTGACAGTAACATCTTGGCCAATAGAAGAACGTGCTGTTTCCAGATTATGGAAACGTTTCTTCTCGTTGATGTCAAAGCCTCTTCGTTTAAGAGCTTGTACAACAGAGATGCGGGAAGCTTCAACCTGAGAGATAGAAGATGCTCCTATAAGCACGTCATCGACATAATAACCAACACCATCTCGTATCTTTGCAGGCAGGGAGGAGAAAATTTTCTCCAAGCTGCTGCCCAATGCCCATGGCGACCAATTAGTTCCAAACGGTACTCGAGAAAACTTAACCAAATGACCAGCCACTACCAGTGCGAGGTAATCGGTGTCCTTGTCGTCGACCTTTCCTCCGCGAACCAGGACTTGCCAGAACGCCTTAGAAAGATCGTCACATGATGCTCTCTCAAAGCTTCTCCACAACATAAGCGTGCCAAATAAGTCCATAGACGTACTGCCCGTGCCATCACCAGTGGTAGTAGTATAAGTATTAAGTGGTCTGGCATCCAAACAGAGTCGGCATTTGGTGCTTGTCCGGTTGAGGTTAAACACTGGAACCACAGCTGTATAGAACTTAGCGAAGTCGTGCGGAGACTGATCAGGAGGTTTTTCAACAACAACACCTGATTTCAATAGTTCATGTACAGCACTTAAATATGCTTCATATTTCACAGGGTCATGCCTCAAACGAGTCAACACCTTGCGATCTCTGGCCCATACGTCCTTGAAATTATACCGTGGTCTCGCAGAGCTCTTCCATGGGATAGAAACAGACAAGCGATCTGCTGCAACTTCAGCGTGGTTGCACTGGATAGCGAGATTGTTATCCTGAAGCCATCGATCGGGTATACACGAATCATCATCAAATATGCCCATAGGACGGAATATTATACGGTCTGGACAGTGAGACTCGGCCGATACCACCCAGGTGCATGGACCCAGAAGACTTTTTGGAACGATGACATCATATTTGCTATGTTCAATGACATAGCAATCACACTGTCGGACTTGATGACTAGCTAGGTGAATCTTAACACCAATCACCTTGTCAACAATCGCACACGACGTACCATTAATCATAGTCAATATGCTTGAAGTAGCAGTAGTAGTAGTACTGAGCTCGGGGATACTCTCTTTCATACTGTTGAAAACCCTTCTTGTAATAAAGACGTCGGTGGCACCAGAGTCCAGTAAAGCATAATATCGATGTTCATCACCTTCGAACCATACCGGTATCAGAGGCAAGCCATTGGAAGCCTTCTCCAAAACTTGGACATCCGATGATCCTTCATTGCACTCTACCATTGATACCATACAGGCTGAGTGGTCCTGAAATGAGTCACTGACAGTGGCTGTTGGCACGAGGTTGATCACAGCTGCCATCAGAAACTCAGCAATAAGACAA